ACGGGGAGACACGGGGAGACAGGGGGAGACAGTGGGAGACACGGGGAGACACGGGGAGACAGGGGGAGACAGGGGGAGACACGGGGAGACACGGGGAGACACGGGGAGACAGGGGGAGACACGGGGAGACACGGGGAGACACGGGGAGACAGGGGGAGACACGGGGAGACACGGAGACAGAGTGGGTGTGGATCACACAGCCAGCACCTGGGAGACACGGGGAGACACGGGGAGACACGGGGAGACACGGGGAGACAGGGGGAGACACGGGGAGACACGGAGACAGAGTGGGTGTGGATCACGCAGCCAGCACCTGGGAGACACGGGGAGACACGGGGAGACACGGGGAGACAGTGGGAGACACGGGGAGACAGGGGGAGACAGGGGGAGACACGGGGAGACACGGGGAGACAGTGGGTGTGGATCACACAGCCAGCACCTGGGAGACACGGGGAGACACGGGGAGACACGGGGAGACACGCAGGGAGACACGGGGAGACAGGGAGAGACACGGGGAGACACGGGGAGACAGAGTGGGTGTGGATCACGCAGCCAGCACCTGGGAGACACGGGGAGACACGGGGAGACACGGGGAGACACGGGGAGACAGTGGGTGTGGATCACGCAGCCAGCACCTGGGAGACACGGGGAGACACGGGGAGACACGGGGAGACACGGAGACGGAGTGGGTGTGGATCACACAGCCAGCACCTGGGAGACACGGGGAGACACGGGGAGACACGGGGAGACACGGGGAGACAGAGTGGGTGTGGATCACGCAGCCAGCACCTGGGAGACACGGGGAGACACGGGGAGACAGGGGGAGACAGTGGGAGACACGGGGAGACACGGGGAGACAGGGGGAGACAGGGGGAGACACGGGGAGACACGGGGAGACACGGGGAGACAGGGGGAGACACGGGGAGACACGGGGAGACACGGGGAGACAGGGGGAGACACGGGGAGACACGGAGACAGAGTGGGTGTGGATCACACAGCCAGCACCTGGGAGACACGGGGAGACACGGGGAGACACGGGGAGACACGGGGAGACAGGGGGAGACACGGGGAGACACGGAGACAGAGTGGGTGTGGATCACGCAGCCAGCACCTGGGAGACACGGGGAGACACGGGGAGACACGGGGAGACAGTGGGAGACACGGGGAGACAGGGGGAGACAGGGGGAGACACGGGGAGACACGGGGAGACAGTGGGTGTGGATCACACAGCCAGCACCTGGGAGACACGGGGAGACACGGGGAGACACGGGGAGACACAGTGGGTGTGGATCACACAGCCAGCACCTGGGAGACACGGGGAGACACGGGGAGACACGGGGAGACACAGTGGGTGTGGATCACACAGCCAGCACCTGGGAGACACGGGGAGACAGGGGGAGACACGGGGAGACACGGGGAGACACGGGGAGACACGGGGAGACATGGGGAGACACGGGGAGACACGGGGAGACAGGGGGAGACACGGGGAGACACGGGGAGACAGAGTGGGTGTGGATCACACAGCCAGCACCTGGGAGACACGGGGAGACACGGGGAGATATGGGGAGACACGGGGAGACACGGGGAGACACAGGGGGAGACACGGGGAGACAGGGGGAGACACGGGGAGACACGGGGAGACACGGAGACAGTGGGTGTGGATCACGCAGCCAGCACCTGGGAGACACGGGGAGACACGGGGAGACACGGGGAGACAGGGGGAGACACGGGGAGACAGAGTGGGTGTGGATCACACAGCCAGCACCTGGGAGACACGGGGAGACACGGGGAGACACGGGGAGACACGGGGAGACAGGGGGAGACGCGGGGAGACACGGGGAGACACGGGGAGACAGGGGGAGACACGGGGAGACACGGGGAGACACGGGGAGACAGGGGGAGACACGGGGAGACATGGAGACAGAGTGGGTGTGGATCACACAGCCAGCACCTGGGAGACACGGGGAGACACGGGGAGACACGGGGAGACAGTGGGAGACACGGGGAGACACGGGGAGACAGGGGGAGACACGGGGAGACACGGGGAGACACGGGGAGACACGGGGAGACAGGGGGAGACACGGGGAGACACGGAGACAGAGTGGGTGTGGATCACGCAGCCAGCACCTGGGAGACACGGGGAGACACGGGGAGACACGGGGAGACACGGGGAGACAGTGGGAGACACGGGGAGACAGGGGGAGACACGCAGGGAGACACGGGGAGACACGGGGAGACACGGGGAGACAGAGTGGGTGTGGATCACGCAGCTAGCACCTGGGAGACACGGGGAGACACGGGGAGACACGGGGAGACACGGGGAGACAAGGGGAGACACGGGGAGACGCGGGGAGACACGGGGAGACACGGGGAGACACGGGGAGACACGGGGAGACGCGGGGAGACACGGGGAGACAGTGGGTGTGGATCACGCAGCCAGCACCTGGGAGACACGGGGAGACACGGGGAGACACGGGGAGACACGGGGAGACGCGGGGAGACACGGGGAGACACAGGGGGAGACACGGGGAGACAGGGGGAGACACGGGGACACGGGGAGACACGGAGACAGAGTGGGTGTGGATCACGCAGCCAGCACCTGGGAGACACGAGGAGACACGGGGAGACACGGGGAGACACGGGGAGACAGGGGGAGACACGGGGAGACACGGGGAGACAGGGGGAGACACGGGGAGACACGGGGAGACACGGGGAGACTCGGGGACACGGGGAGACACGGGGAGACACGGGGAGACACGGGGAGAAACGGGGAGACAGTGGGTGTGGATCACGCAGCCAGCACCTGGGAAACACGGGGAGACACGGGGAGACAGAGGGAGACAGAGGGAGACACGGGGAGACACAGGGAGACACGGGGAGACACGGGGAGATAGAGGGAGACAGTGGGAGACACGGGGAGACACGGGGAGACAGGGGGAGACACGGGGAGACACAGGGAGACACGGGGAGACACGGGGAGACACGGGGAGACAGGGGGAGACACGGGGAGACACGGGGAGACACGGGGAGACACGGGGAGACAGAGTGGGTGTGGATCACGCAGCTAGCACCTGGGAGACACGGGGAGACACGGGGAGACACGGGGAGACAGAGTGGGTGTGGATCACGCAGTTAGCACCTGGGAGACACGGGGAGACACGGGGAGACACGCAGGGAGACACGGGGAGACACGGGGAGACACGGGGAGACAGAGTGGGTGTGGATCACGCAGCTAGCACCTGGGAGACACGGGGAGACACGGGGAGACACGGGGAGACAGAGTGGGTGTGGATCACGCAGCTAGCACCTGGGAGACACGGGGAGACACGGGGAGACACGGGGAGACAGAGTGGGTGTGGATCACGCAGCTAGCACCTGGGAGACACGGGGAGACACGGGGAGACACGGGGAGACACGGGGAGACAGCGGAGACACGGGGAGACACGGGGAGACAGTATCCCCACGTGTCTCCGCGTGTCTCACCGGGCGTGTCTCTGTGTGTCCCCGGGTGTCTCTGCGTGTCTCCGTGAGTCTCTGTGTGTCTCTGTGTGTCTCTGTGTGTGTCTGTGTGTCTCTGTGTGTCTCTCTGTGTCTCTGTGTGTCTCTGTGTGTCTCTGTGTATGTCTGTGTGTCTCTGTGTGTCTCTGCGAGTCTCTGTGTGTCTCTGTGTCTCCGTGTGTCTCCGTGTGTCTCTGTGTGTGTCTGTGTGTGTCTCTGTGTGTCTCTGTGTCTCTGTGTTTCTCTGTGTTTCTCTGTGTCTGTGTGTCTCCGTGTGTCTCTGTCTCTGTGTGTGTCTCTGTGTGTCTGTTTGTCTCCGTGTTTCTCTGTGTGTCTCTGTGTGTCTCCGTGTGTCTCTGTGTGTCTCTGTGTGTCTCCGTGTGTCTCTGTCTCTCTGTGTCTCTGTGTTTCTGTGTCTCTCTGTGTCTCTGTGTTTCTGTGTCTCCGTGTGTCTCTGTCTCTCTCTGTCTCTGTGTGTCTGTGTCTCTGTGTCTGTGTGCCTCTGTGTCTCTGTGTGTCTCTGTGTGTGTCTCTGTGTCTGTGTGTCTCTGTGTGTCTCTGTCTGTCTCTGTGTGTCTCCGTGTGTCTCTCTGTGTCTCTGTGTGTCTCTGTGTGTGTCTGTGTGTCTCTGTGTGTCTCTGCGTGTCTCCGCGTGTCTCTGTGTCTCTGTGTGTCTCCGTGTGTCTCTGTCTGTGTCTGTGTGTCTGTGTCTCTGTCTCTGTGTGTGTCTGTGTGTCTCTGTGTGTGTCTCTGTGTCTGTGTGTCTGTGTGTCTATGTGTCTCTGTGTGTGTCTCTGTGTCTGTGTGTCTGTGTGTCTCTGTGTGTCTCCGTGTGTCTCTGTGTGTCTCTGTGTGTGTCTCTGCGTGTCTCTGCGTGTCTGCGTGTCTCCGTGTGTCTCCGTGTGTCTGTGTGTATCTCTGTGTCTCTGTGTGTCTCTGTGTGTCTCTGTGTTTGTCTGTGTCTCTGTGTGTCTCTGTGTGTCTCTGCGTGTCTCCGTGTGTCTCTGTGTCTCTGTGTGTCTCTGTGTGTCTCCGTGTGTCTCTGTCTCTCTGTGTCTCTGTGTTTCTGTGTCTCCGTGTGTCTCTGTCTCTCTGTGTCTCTGTGTGTCTGTGTCTCAGTCTCTGTGTGTCTCTGTGTGTCTCTGTGTCTCTGTGTCTCTCTGTGTCTCCGTGTGTCTCTGTCTCTGTGTGTCTCTGTGTGTCTCTGTGTCTCTGTATGTGTCTCTGTGTGTCTCTGTGTGTCTCTGTGTGTGTCTCTGTGTGTCTCTGTGTCTCTGTATGTGTCTCTGTGTGTCTCTGTGTGTATCTGTGTGTCTCTGTGTCTCTGTGTTTCTGTGTGTGTCTCTGTGTGTCTCTCTGTCTCTGTGTGTGTCTCTGTGTCTCCGTGTGTCTCTGTGAGTCTCTCTGTGTGTCTCTGTGTGTCTCTGTCTCTGTGTGTCTCTGTCTCTGTGTGTTTCTGTCTCTGTGTGTCTCTGTGAGTCTCTCTGTGTGTCTCTGTGTGTCTCTGTCTCTGTGTGTCTCTGTGTGTTTCTGTCTCTGTGTGTCTCTGTGAGTCTCTCTGTGTGTCTCTGTCTTTGTGTGTGTCTCTGTGTCTCTGTGTGTCTCTGTCTGTGTGTGTCTGTGTGTGTCTCTGTGTATCTCTGTGTGTCTGTGTCTCTGTGTCTCTGTGTGTCTCTGTGTGTGTCTCTGTCTCTGTGTGTCTCTGTGTGTCTCTGTGTCTCTGTCTCCGTGTGTCTCTGTGTCTCACCACGCATGCTGTATGCCAGCATGAAGAGCGGTGCGCACTGACTCAGGGTCTCCTCCTCTGTGTCTCTGTGTGTCTCTGTGTGTTTCTGTGTTTCTGTGTCTCTGTGTGTGTCTCTGTGTGTCTGTGTGTCTCTCTCTGTCTCTGTGTGTGTCTCTGTGTGTTTCTGTGTGTCTCTGTGTGTCTCTGTGTGTCTTTGTCTCTGTGTCTCTGTGTGTCTCTGTGTGTGTCTGTGTGTCTCTGTGTGTGTCTCTGTGTCTCTGTGTGTGTCTCTGTGTCTCACCACGCATGCTGTATGCCAGCATGAAGAGCGGTGCGCACTGACTCAGGGTCTCCTCCCCTGTGTCTCTGTCTGTGTCTCTGTCTCTGTGTGTCTGTGTGTCTCTGTGTGTCTCTGTGTGTGTCTCTGTGTCTCTGTGTGTGTCTTTGTGTCTCTGTGTGTCTCTGTGTGTCTCTGTCTCTGTGTGTCTCTGTGTGTCTGTGTCTCTGTGTGTCTCTGTGTGTGTCTCACCACGCATGCTGTATGCCAGCATGAAGAGCGGTGCGCACTGACTCAGGGTGAGTGGCGCCAAGGGGGCCGAGACCACACAGCCCGCAGAGTCGAGCTCAAACACGTCGCTAGGCTGGGGAGACACGCGGGGGGAGACACGGGGGAGACACGCGGGGTGAGACACGGAGACACGCGGGGTGAGACACACAGGGAGACACGCGGGGAGACACGGAGATACGCGGGGTGAGACACGCGGAGACACGCGGAGACACGCGGGGAGACACGCGGGGAGAGACACGCGGGGGAGACACGGAGGAGACACGCAGGGTGAGACACGCGGAGACACGCGGGGAGACACGCGGGGTGAGACACGGGGGAGACACGCGGAGACACGCAGGGAGACACGCGGGGGAGACACGGGGGAGACACGGGGGAGACACGCGGAGATACGCGGGGAGACACGTGGGGAGACACGCGGGGGAGACACGCGGGGTGAGACACGGAGACACGCGGTGTGAGACACGGAGACACGGGGGGAGACACGGGGGAGACACGCAGGTGAGACACGCGGAGTGAGACACGGAGACACGGGGTGAGACACGCGGGGTGAGACAGGGAGACACGCGGGGTGAGACACGCGGGGTGAGACACGCGGGGTGAGACAGGGAGACACGCGGGGTGAGACACGTGAGCGGTGAGTGGATTCATGAATGATTGTGCAGGAGGTGAGCGAGTTGGTGAGCGAGCGGGTGAGCGAGTTGGTGAGTTAGCCGGTGAGCGAGTTGGTGAGTTAGCCGGTAAGCGAGCTGGTGAGTTAGCCGGTAAGCGAGTTGGTGAGTTAGCTGGTAAGCGAGTTGGTGAGTTAGCCGGTAAGCGAGTTGGTGAGTTAGCCGGTAAGCGAGTTGGTGAGTTAGCCGGTAAGCGAGTTGGTGAGTTAGCCGGTGAGCGAGTTGGTGAGTTAGCCGGTGAGCGAGTTGGTGAGTTAGCCGGTAAGCGAGCTGGTGAGTTAGCCGGTAAGCGAGTTGGTGAGTTAGCTGGTAAGCGAGTTGGTGAGTTAGCCGGTAAGTGAGTTGGTGAGTTAGCCGGTAAGCGAGTTGGTGAGTTAGCCGGTAAGCGAGTTGGTGAGTTAGCCGGTGAGCGAGTTGGTGAGTTAGCCGGTGAGCGAGTTGGTGAGTTAGCCGGTGAGCGAGTTGGTGAGTTAGCCGGTGAGCGAGTTGGTGAGTTAGCCGGTAAGCGAGTTGGTGAGTTAGCTGGTAAGCGAGTTGGTGAGTTAGCCGGTAAGCGAGTTGGTGAGTTAGCCGGTGAGCGAGTTGGTGAGCTAGCCGGTAAGCGAGTTGGTGAGTTAGCCGGTGAGCGAGTTGGTGAGTTAGCCGGTGAGCGAGTTGGTGAGTTAGCCGGTGAGCGAGTTGGTGAGTTAGCCGGTAAGCGAGTTGGTGAGTTAGCCGGTAAGCGAGTTGGTGAGTTAGCCGGTGAGCGAGTTGGTGAGTTAGCTGGTGAGCGAGTTGGTGAGTTAGCCGGTAAACCAGTTGGTGAGTTAGCTGGTGAGCGAGTTGGTGAGCTGGTGAGCGACCGGGTGAGCGAGCTGGTGAGCGAGCCGTTGAGCTGGTGAGCGAGCTGGTGAGCGAGCTGGTGAGTTAGCTGGTGAGCTGGTGAGTTAGCTGGTGAGCGAGCTGGTGAGTTAGCTGGTGAGCTGGTGAGTGAGCTGGTGAGCGAGCTGGTAAGCTGATGAGCGAGCTGTTGAGCGAGCTGGTGAGCTAGCTGGTGAGTTAGATGGTGAGCTGGTGAGCGAGCCGGTGAGCGAGCTGGTGAGCTGGTGAGCGAGGTGGTGAGCGAGCAGGTGAGTGAGCGAGTTGGTGAGTGAGCTGGTGAGCTGGTGAGCGAGCTGGTGAGCGAGCTGGTGAGTGAGTGAGTTGGTGAGCGAGCTGGTGAGCTGGTGAGCGAGCTGGTGAGCGAGCTGGTGAGTGAGCTGGTGAGTTAGCTGGTGAGCTGGTGAGCGAGCTGGTGAGCGAGTTGGTGAGTTAGCTGGTGAGCTGGTGAGTTAGCTGGTGAGCTGGTGAGTTAGCTGGTGAGCTGGTGAGTTAGCTGGTGAGCGAGCTGGCGAGCTGGTGAGCTGGTGAGCGAGCTGGTGAGCGAGCTGGTGAGTGAGCTGGTGAGTTAGCTGGTGAGCTGGTGAGCGAGCTGGTGAGTTAGCTGGTGAGCTGGTGAGTGAGCTGGTGAGCGAGCTGGTGAGCGAGCTGGTGAGTGAGCGAGTTGGTGAGCGAGCTGGTGAGTGAGCTGGTGAGGTAGCTGGTGAGCTGGTGAGCGAGCTGGTGAGTGAGTGAGCTGGTGAGTTAGCTGGTGAGGGAGCTGGTGAGCTGGTGAGTGAGCTGGTGAGCGAGTTGGTGAGTTAGCTGGTGAGTTAGCTGGTGAGCTGGTGAGTTAGCTGGTGAGCTGGTGAGCGAGCTGGTGAGCGAGCTGGTGAGCTGGTGAGTTAGCTGGTGAGCGAGCTGGTGAGCTAGCTGGTGAGTTAGCTGGTGAGCTGGTAAGCGAGCTGGTGAGCGAGTTGGTGAGTTAGCTGGTGAGTTAGCTGGTGAGTTAGCTGGTGAGCTGGTGAGCGAGCTGGTGAGGTAGCTGGTGAGTGAGCTGGTGAGTTAGCTGGTGAGCTGGTGAGTTAGCTGGTGAGCTGGTGAGTGAGCTGGTGAGTTAGCTGGTGAGCTGGTGAGCGAGCTGGTGAGTTAGCTGGTGAGTTAGATGGTGAGCGAGCTGGTGAGTTAGCTGATGAGCTGGTGAGTGAGCTGGTGAGCTGGTGAGCGAGCTGGTGAGTTAGCTGGTGAGCTGGTGAGCGAGCTGGTGAGTTAGCTGGTGAGCTGGTGAGTTAGCTGGTGAGTGAGCGAGCCGGTGAGCGAGCTGGTGAGCTGGTGAGCGAGCTGGTGAGCTGGTGAGTTAGCTGGTGAGCTGGTGAGTTAGCTGGTGAGTGAGTGAGCTGGTGAGTTAGCTGGTGAGCTGGTGAGCGAGCTGGTGAATGAGCTGGTGAGCTGGTGAGCTGGTGAGTGAGCTGGTGAGCTGGTGAGTTAGCTGGTGAGTGAGTGAGCTGGTGAGTGAGTTAGCTGGTGAGCTGGTGAGCGAGTTGGTGAGCGAGCTGGTGAGTGAGTTAGCTGGTGAGCTGGTGAGCTGGTGAGTGAGCTGGTGAGTGAGCGAGTTGGTGAGCGAGCTGGTGAGCTGGTGAGCGAGCTGGTGAGCTGGTGAGCGAGCTGGTGAGCGAGCTGGTGAGCGAGCTGGTGAGTGAGATGGTGAGTGAGATGGTGAGTTAGCTGGTGAGCTGGTGAGCGAGCTGGTGAGTGAGCTGGTGAGCGAGCTGGTGAGTGAGCTGGTGAGTTAGCTGGTGAGCGAGCTGGTGAGTGAGCTGGTGAGTTAGCTGGTGAGTGAGCTGGTGAGCCGGTGAGCGAGCCGGTGAGCGATGAATCTGTACCTTGATTCGCTCTTTCTGTACGCCAGAGGGCGCCATGTAGATCTTGTCCCTGCATCACAAAGACAAAGATTCCCCGGGTAGCCTCAGCAGCAGCAGCAGTCAGCGTACAACACCCGCTGTGTCTGTCCCTGCACCTAGCCTGGCACCCCCCCCCCCCCGTGTCTCACCCGTGTCTCCCCCCGTGTCTCACCCGTGTCTCCCTGCGTGTCTCCCCCCGTGTCTCCCTGCGTGTCTCCCCGTGTCTCCCCCCGTGTCTCACCCGTGTCTCACCCGTGTCTCACCCGTGTCTCCCTGCGTGTCTCCCCCCGTGTCTCCCTGCGTGTCTCCCCGTGTCTCCCCCCGTGTCTCACCCGTGTCTCACCCCGTGTCTCCCCCCGTGTCTCCCCCCGTGTCTCCCCCCGTGTCTCCCCCCGTGTCTCCCCACGTCTCCCCCGTGTCTCCCCGCGTGTCTCCCCCGTGTCTCCCCCGTCTCCCTGCGTGTCTCACCCGTGTCTCCCCACGTGTCTCCCCGTGTCTCCCCCCGTGTCTCACCACGTGTCTCCCCGTGTCTCCCTGCGTGTCTCACCCGTGTCTCCCCCCCCCGTGTCTCCCCCGTGTCTCCCTGCGTGTCTCACCCGTGTCTCACCCGTGTCTCTCCCCGTGTCTCACCCCGTGTCTCCCTGCGTCTCCCCCGTGTCTCCCCGTGTCTCACCCCGTGTCTCCCCGTGTCTCCTCCGTGTCTCCCCCGTGTCTCACCCCGTGTCTCCCCGTGTCTCCCCCGTGTCTCCCCTGTGTATCCCCCGTGTCTCCCTGCGTGTCTCACCCGTGTCTCTCCCCGTGTCTCACCCCGTGTCTCCCTGCGTATCTCACCCCATGTCTCCCCGTGTCTCCCCCCGTGTCTCCCCCCGTGTCTCCCCCCCGTGTCTCCCCCGTGTCTCCCCGTGTCTCACCCGTGTCTCCCCGTGTCTCCCCGTGTCTCACCACGTGTCTCCCCGTGTCTCACCCCGTGTCTCCCCGTGTCTCCCCCGTGTCTCCCCGTGTCTCCCCCGTGTCTCTCCCCGTGTCTCACCACGTGTCTCCCTGCGTGTCTCACCCCGTGTCTCCCCGTGTCTCCCCGCGTCTCCCCGTGTCTCACCACGTGTCTCCCCGTGTCTCCCCCGTGTCTCACCCCGTGTCTCCCCGTGTCTCCCCCGTGTCTCCCCTGTGTATCCCCCGTGTCTCCCCCGTGTCTCCCCGTGTCTCCCCGTGTCTCCCTGCGTGTCTCACCCCGTGTCTCCCCGTGTCTCCCCCGTGTCTCCCTGCGTGTCTCACCCGTGTCTCTCCCCGTGTCTCACCCCGTGTTTCCCTGCGTCTCCCCCGTGTCTCCCCGTGTCTCACCCCGTGTCTCCTCCGTGTCTCCCCCGTGTCTCACCCCGTGTCTCCCCGTGTCTCCCCCGTGTCTCCCCTGTGTATCCCCCGTGTCTCCCTGCGTGTCTCCCCGTGTCTCCCCGTGTCTCACCACGTGTCTCCCCCGTGTCTCCCCGTGTCTCCCCGTGTGTCTCCCCGTGTCCCCTCGTGTCTCCCCCGTGTCTCCCCGTGTCTCTCCCCGTGTCTCACCACGTGTCTCCCTGCGTGTCTCACCCCGTGTCTCACCCGTGTCTCACCCCGTGTCTCACCACGTGTCTCCCCCGTGTCTCCCCGTGTCTCCCCGTGTGTCTCCCCGTGTCCCCTCGTGTCTCCCCCGTGTCTCCCCGTGTCTCTCCCCGTGTCTCACCACGTGTCTCCCTGCGTGTCTCACCCCGTGTCTCACCCGTGTCTCACCCCGTGTCTCACCACGTGTCTCCCTGCGTGTCTCCCCGTGTCTCCCCGTGTCTCACCACGTGTCTCCCCCGTGTCTCCCCGGGTCTCCCCGTGTGTCTCCCCGTGTCCCCTCGTGTCTCCCCCGTGTCTCCCCGTGTCCCCTCGTGTCTCCCCCGTGTCTCCCCGTGTCTCTCCCCGTGTCTCCCCCGTGTCTCCCTGCGTGTCTCACCCGCGTCTGATCGAGACGCCGCCACCAGTACCCGTGGCCCAGCCCAGGTGGTAGAGCAGGCGACACAGGTCGCGGATCAACGCGCGGGGCTCGTCAGCATCCACCTCATCATCCACCACCTCCACCTCATCATCATCATCCTTGACGAGTCTCGCCAGAGACTTCTCCACCTGCTGCTCGCTCATGATGCCGCCTCTGTGTCTCTGTGTGTGTCTGTGTGTGTGTCTCCCTGTCTGTGTGTGTCTCCCTGTGTCTCTGTGTGTGTCTGTGTCTCTGTGTGTGTGTCTCTGTGTGTCTCTGTCTCCCTGTCTGTGTGTGTGTCTCCCTGTCTGTGTGTGTGTCTCCCTGTGTCTCTGTGTGCTGTGTCTCTGTGTGTGTGTCTCTGTCTCCCTGTCTGTGTGTGTCTCCCTGTGTCTCTGTGTGCTGTGTCTCTCTCTCTGTGTCTGTGTCTCTCTGTCTGTGTCTCTCTGTGTGTCTCTCTCTGTGTCTCTCTGTGTCTGTGTCTCTCTCTCTGTGTCTCTCTCTGTGTGTGTCTCTCTGTGTGTGTCTCTCTGTGTCTGTGTCTCTCTGTGTCTGTGTCTCTGTCTGTGTGTGTCTCTCTGTGTCTCTCTCTGTGTCTCTCTCTGTGTGTATGTGTGTCTGTGTCTCTCTCTCTGTCTCTCTGTTGTCTGTCTCCACACGTGCTACCCAACCCCTGCTTTTGCCCCGCCGCCGATTGGCTTCGTCGCTGTCACGTGACGCTCGGCGAGCCACGCCCCCGGATGCGGGGGGGGAGGAGCCGCCCACTGCGCATGCGCGGTCGACGCCGCCATAACGGGATGGTGTCCGGAACTGACGTCACGTTTCTGCCGAGGTCACGTGGCCAGGCCCCTAAATATTTTTATTATTTACCGAAGCGGTTAAGTTCTACGCTAATTACGCGGCAAGTCGTTAATTAAACGTGAAAGTACTTTGATATTTAGTGCACTAAATGAATGCTGTGTTAAACCGTAGTTAAAGAAAATGTGCTTACGATGTTTCATTTAAATTAAGGTGCCCATAGTGTTGAGAGAAGCATCGTAATATTGCTACCTTCGTCCTTGAGCACATGAGCGGGTAAATGAGTGAAGGGTTGAGTGGGTGAATGAATGAGTGGGTGAGTGGGTGAGTGAGTGGGTGAGTGAGTGAGTGGGTGAGTGAGTGGGTGGGTGAGTGAGTGGGTGAGTGAGTGAGTGGGTGAGTGAGTGGGTGAGTGACTGAGTGAGTGGGTGAATGAATGAATGAGTGGGTGAGTGAGTGAGTGAGTGGGTGGGTGAGTGGGTGGGTGGGTGGGTGAGTGGGTGGGTGAGTGGGTGGGTGAGTGGGTGAGTGGGTGAGTGGGTGGGTGGGTGGGTTGAGTGGGTGGGTTGAGTGGGTGGGTGGGTGGGTTGAGTGGGTGGGTGGGTGGGTTGAGTGGGTGGGTGAGTGAGTGGGTGGGTGGGGTGGGTGGGTGAGTGGGTGGGTGGGGTGGGTGAGTGGGTGGGTGGGTGGGGTGGGTGAGTGGGTGGGTGGGGTGGGTGAGTGGGTGGGTGGGGTGAGTGGGTGGGTGGGGTGGGTGAGTGGGTGGGTGGGGTGGGTGAGTGGGTGGGGTGGGTGGGTGAGTGAGTGGGTGGGTGAGTGAGTGAGTGGGTGAGTGAGTGGGTGGGTGAGTGAGTGGGTGGGTGAGTGAGTGGGTGGGTGGGTGAGTGGGTAGGTGAGTGAGTGAGTGGGTAGGTGGGTGAGTGAGTGGGTGAGTGGGTAGGTGGGTGAGTGAGTGGGTGAGTGGGTGAGTGAGTGGGTGAGTGAGTGGGTGGCCAGCATCACGCCCGGCTAACCGCCTTTGTCTCTTCCCCACCCCCGGCAGTGGCGAGTCCACCCTAGGGGTAGATTCCAAACTCAGGCGCGCCGCAGGTTATAGGTGAGCGCAGAAGCGCGCTAACCACTGCGCCACCGCTCCCTGCCTCTAGCCCCAACCCCTCTAGCCCCCTCCCCTCTAGCCCCCTCCCCACTAGCCCCTCCCCTTCTATACCCCTCCTCCTCTAGCCCCTCCCCCTCTATCCCCCTCCCCTCCTAGCCCCTCCCCCTCTATTCCCCTCCCCCTCTATTCCCCTCCCCCTCTATCCCCCTCCTAGCCCCTCCCCCTCTTGCCCTCCCCCCCACTTCTCCCCCTAGCCCCCACCCCCCCCCATGTGATGTCACTGCCCGCGGGGAGGGGGGGGGTAGCGAGAGAGTGGGGGGGGGGCTGGACACGTGACCCGCGATTGTGCTGAGTCGATGCCGCTGCGCGCCGCGGTCACGTGGTCAATGCAGCTCCACAGCTGCGGGAGATCCACATTGCCATGACGGGGCCAGGATGGTCAAAGCGGGGGGGGTGGGGGGTTGATGGTTGATGATGATGATGATGGTGGTGATGGTGGTGATGGTGGTGGTGTTGATGATGATGATGGTGGTGGTGATGGTAGTGATGGTGATGGTGGTGATGGTGACGGTGGTGGTGATGGTGGTGATGGTGGTGGTGATGGTGGTGATGGTGGTGGTGATGGTGACGGTGGTGATGGTGGTGGTGGTGACGGTGGTGGTGATGGTGGTGGTGATGGTGGTGGTGATGGTGACGGTGGTGATGGTGACGGTGGTGATGGTGGTGGTGATGGTGGTGGTGGTGATGGTGACGGTGGTGGTGATGGTGGTGGTGATGGTGGTGATGATGGTGGTGGTGGTGATGGTGGTGGTGATGGTGGTGATGGTGACGGTGGTGATGGTGACGGTGGTGATGATGGTGGTGGTGATGGTGGTGATGGTGGTAGTGATGGTGGTGATGGTGGTGATGGTGGTGGTGATGGTGGTAGTGATGGTGGTGATGGTGGTGGTGATGGTGGTGGTGGTAGTGATGGTGGTGATGGTGGTGGTGATGGTGATGGTGGTGATGGTGATGGTGGTGATGACGGTGGTGGTGATGGTGGTGACGGTGGTGGTGACGGTGGTGGTGACGGTGGTGATGGTGGTGGTGATGTTGGTGGTGATGATGGTGGTGGTGGTGATGATGGTGATGATGGTGGTGATAGTGATGATGATGGTGATGATGGTGGTGATAGTGATGATGATGGTGATGATGGTGGTGATAGTGATGATGATGGTGATGATGGTGATGGTGGTGATGATGATGGTGGTGATGATGGTGATGGTCGTAGTTATGATGATGATGATGGTGGTCGTGATGATGATGATGATGGTAGTGATGATGGTGGTAGTGATGATGAAGATCGCAGTGATGATGATGGTGGTAGTGGTGATGATGATGGTGGTAGTGATGATGATGGTGGTGGTAGTGATGATCATGGTAGTGATGATGGTGGTGGTAGTGATGATGGTGATGGTAGTGATGATGGTAGTGATGATGGTGGTGGTAGTGATGATGGTAGTGGTGATGATGATGATGGTGGTAGTGATGATGATGGTAGTGATGATGGTGGTGGTAGTGATGATCATGGTAGTGATGATGGTGGTGGTAGTGATGATGGTGATGGTAGTGATGATGGTAGTGATGATGGTGGTGGTAGTGATGATGATGGTGGCAGTGATGATGATAGTGATGATGATGATGGTGATGATGATGATGGTGGTAGTGATGATGATGATAGTGGTAGTGATGATAGTGATTATGATGGTGGTGATGATGATGAAGGTGGTGATGATGGTGGTTATGATGATGATGGTGATGGTAGTGATGATGGTGATGATGATGGTGGTAGTAATGATGATGGTGGTAGTGATGATGATGATGGTAGTGATGATGATGGTAGTGGTGATGATGATGGTAGTGATGAATGATGGTGGTAGTGATGATGATGATGGTGGTAGTGATGATGATGATGATGGTGGTAGTGATGATGATGGTAGTGGTAGTGATGATGATGATGGTGGTAGTGATGATGATGGTAGTGGTAGTGATGATAGTGATTATGATGGTGGTGATGATGATGAAGGTGGTGATGATGGTGGTTATGATGATGATGGTGATGGTAGTGATGATGGTGATGATGATGGTGGTAGTAATGATGATGGTGGTAGTGATGATGATGATGGTAGTGATGATGATGGTAGTGGTGATGATGATGGTAGTGATGAATGATGGTGGTAGTGATGATGATGATGATGGTGGTAGTGATGATGATGATGATGGTGGTAGTGATGATGATGGTAGTGGTAGTGATGATGATGATGGTGGTAGTGATGATGATGGTAGTGATGATGATGATGATGGTAGTGGTGATGATGATGGTAGTGATGAATGATGGTGGTAGTGATGATGATGATGATGGTGGTAGTGATGATGATGATGGTGGTAGTGATGATGATGATGATGGTGGTAGTGATGATGATGATGGTGGTAGTGATGATGATGGTGCTAGTGATGATGATGGTGCTAGTGATGATGATGGTGGTGGTAGTGATGATGGTGGTAGTGATGATGATGATGGTAGTGATGATGATGGTAGTGGTGATGATGATGGTAGTGATGAATGATGGTGGTAGTGATGATGATGATGGTGGTAGTGATGATGATGATGATGGTGGTAGTGATGATGATGGTAGTGGTAGTGATGATGATGATGGTGGTAGTGATGATGATGGTAGTGATGATGATGATGATGGTAGTGGTGATGATGATGGTAGTGATGAATGATGGTGGTAGTGATGAATGATGGTGGTAGTGATGATGATGATGGTGGTAGTGATGATGATGATGATGGTGGTAGTGATGATGATGATGGTGGTAGTGATGATGATGGTGCTAGTGATGATGATGGTGCTAGTGATGATGATGGTGGTGGTAGTGATGATGATGATGGTGGTAATGATGATGATGGTAGTGATGATGATGGTGGTAGTGATGATGATGATGGTAGTGATGATGATGGTGGTAGTGATGATGATGGTGGTAGTGATGATGGTGGTGGTAGTGATGATGATGGTGGTAGTGATGATGATGGTGGTAGTGATTATGGCGGTAGTGATGATGATGGTGGTAGTGATGATGATGGTGGTAGCGATGATGATGATGGTGGTAGCAGTAGCAGCGATGATGTAATGACATCCGCACTCCGAAAAACCCAGCACACACAGACACACACACAGACAGACACACACACAGACACACACACACGCGACGCATAGACCCCCACACACACACACCACACACTCACACACACTCACCCCCACACACACTCACACATTCATCCCTAACTCACACACACCACACACTCACACACACTCACACACACTCACCCCCACACACACACTCACACATTCACCCCTACAGAAACTCACACGCACCACACACTCTCACCCCCACACACACACTCACACACACTCACCCCTACAGATACTCACACACACCACACAGACACACACACAGACACACCACACACTCACAGACACACACACAGACACACCACACACACACTCACAGACACACACACAGACACACCACACACACACTCACAGACACACACACAGACACACCACACACACACTCACTCACACACACACAGACACTCACACACCACACACACACCCCACACACACACACACCACACACACACTCACTCACACACACACAGACACTCACACACCACACACACCCCACACACACACACACACCACACACACACACACCACACACACACACAGTCACACACACACAGTCACACACACACAGTCACCCCCACCCCCCACCACTCTACCCACCACTCTCCCCACCAACCCCCCCCCCACCACCCCTCCCCCCCCCCCCACCTCGCCCCTCCCCTCGCCGCATCAGCATCATCATCGCTGCTTGCACCATCAGCACAGCCACCACCACCACCACCCAGCCATCACGCTGGACACTACCACCACCACCATCATCACCACCACCATCATCATCACCCTGAAGATGTCAGTCGTGATGTCCCTTCTCACCACGCGGCCTTGGCTGCTCTGGCATTCCGAGACGTCGTCCCCTGCCGTCTGAGGAATCTCGCTCGAGATCCTCTCTCCATCACTCAGCCACCGCTGTCTCTCTGTCTCTCTGCCGTCTGAGGAATCTCGCTCCAGATCCTCTCTCCATCACTCAGCCACCGCTGTCTCTCTGTCTCTCTGTCTCTCTGCCGTCTGAGGAATCTCGCTCCAGATCCTCTCTCCATCACTCAGCCACCGCTCGCTCGCTGTCTCTCTGTCTCTCTGCCGTCTGAGGCATCTCGCTCCAGATCCTCTCTCCATCACTCAGCCACCGCTGTCTCTCTGTCTCTCTGTCTCTCTGCCGTCTGAGGAATCTCGCTCCAGATCCTCTCTCCATCACTCAGCCACCGCTCGCTCACTCTCTCTCTCTCTGTGTCTCCTGTGTGTCTTTCTCTCTCTCTCTGTGTCTCTGTGTGTGTCTCTCTCTCTGTATCTCTGTGTGTCTCTCTCTCTCTCTCTGTGTCTCTGTGTGTGTCTCTCTCTGTCTCTCTCCTGCTCTCTCTATCTGTGCGTCTCTCTGTGTGTCTCTGTGTGTCTCTGTGTGTCTGTGTCTCTGTGTCTCTCTCTGTCTCTCTCCTGCTCTCTCTCTGTGTGTCTCTGCGTCTCTGTGTCTCTCTCTCTCTCTGTCTCTGTGTCTCTCTGTCTTTCTCTCTGTCCCTGTGTTTCTCTGTGTGTGTCTCTGTGTCTCTCTCCTGCTCTCTCTGTGTATCTGTGTGTGTCTCTCTCTCTGTGTCTCTGTGTGTCTCTCTGTGTGTCTCTCTCTCGATATCCCCTGCGTCTGCGTCTCTCTGTCACCCCTCCCACCATCACCCCCCTCCCCCCCCCCCCCCCCCCCCCCCCCCTGCGCAAGAGAGTGCCTGCATCTCGCTTTCTCGCTCGTTCGCTCGCTCTCTGCATCTCTCTCCTCTAAATCTTGCTGTCTCTCTCTCTCTCTGTATCTCTCTCCCCATCTCTCTCTCTCTCTCTGTGCATCTCTCTCTCTGTATCTCTCTCCTCTAAATCTCTCTCTGTGCATCTCTCTCCTCTAAATCTCTCTCTCTCTCTCTGCGTATCTCTATCTGCGTATCTCTCTCCCCATCTCTCTCTCTCTGCATCTCTCCCCCCACCACCCACCCACCCACCACCACCCTCCTACTACTCATGCCCCTCTCTCCTCGCTCCTCTTCTCTGGCCCTCTCCTCCGTCATCACCATCACCACCACCACCACCATCACCCCCACCACCACCACCATCACCACCTCGTCTCCATGATCAGCTCCGTGTGTGTCTCCTCTTATCGCGGCAGCGCGGGCGGAGGCGGCGGAGGCAGTGGAGGCGGTGGCGGTGCTCGTAAGGCAGCAGCAGCAGCAGCAGCAGGAGCAGCAGCAGCAGCAGCAGCAGGAAGCGTAGCAGGAAGCAGCAACAACAACAACGGCGCAGGGTTCGGGACTCGCTCTCGTTTCTGCGGCGCCATGGGCGGAGGCTCCGACGATGAAGACGCCGGTGCCGGTGCCGCCGGCACCGGCACCGGCACCGGCACCGGCACGTGCTGCGGCGATGACACCGGAGCCGGCGGTCCTCTAGGCGGCTGCTGTTGCGGAGGTGTCACTGGCGGCTGCGGCTGCGGCTGCGGCTGCGGCTGTGGCGGCGGCGGAGGCGGTGGAGGCTGTGGCGGCGGAGGCGGTGGAGGCGGCCCTCGTGAAGGACGCGTGGTCATCAACGTGGGTGGCACTCGCCACGTGACCTACCGGAGCACGTTGCGCGCCCTGCCCGGCACGCGTCTCGCCTGGCTGGCCGAGCCGGACATCGCCGGCGGCGGCGGCGGCTGCGGCGCCGGCGCCGGTGCCGGTGCCGGTGCCGGTGCTGGCTGCTTGGTTGGTGGTTCGATATCAGGCGGCGGCGGCGGAGGTGGCGGTGGCGGTGGCGGTCAGCACTGGGATTCGAGGGCCCGCGAGTTCTTCTTCGACCGGCACCCGGCCGTGTTCGCCCACGTGCTCAACTACTACCGCACGGGGAAGCTGCACTGCCCGGCGGACGTCTGCGGGCCCCTGTTCGAGGAGGAGCTGGCTTACTGGCGCATCGACGAGACGGACGTGGAGGCGTGCTGCTGGATGACGTACAGGTGGGGTGGTGTGTGGTGTGTGGTGTGTGTGGGAGTGGTGTGGGAGTGGTGTGGGAGTGTGGTGTGTGGGAGTGTGGGAGTGTGGGGTGTTGTGTGGTGGTGTGAGTGGGGTGATGTGTGGGAGTGTGGGAGTGTGGGAGTGTGGTGTGTGGGAGTGTGTGGGAGTGTGGGAGTGGGAGTGTGGGAGTGTGAGTGTGTGAGTGGGGTGGTGTGTGTGGGGGAGTGGGTTGTGTGTGGTGTGTGGGAGTGTGGGAGTGTGTGGGGTGTTGTGTGGTGTGTGAGTGGGTTGTGTGGGGTGTGTGGTGGTGTGAGTGGTGTGTGTGTGGTGTGTGTGGTGTGTGGTGTGTGGGAGTGTGGGAGTGTGAGTGTGGGAGTGGGTTGTGTGGGGTGTGCATGGTGTGTGTGTGTGGGAGTGGGGGTGTGGTGGTGTGTGTGTGGTGTGTGAGTGGGGTGTGTGTGGTGTGTGTGGTGGTGTGTGGTGTGTGTGGTGTGTGTGGTGTGTGTGGTGTGTGGGAGTGGGATGTGGGAGTGTGGGAGTGGGAGTGTGGGGTGTTGTGTGGTGGTGTGAGTGGGGTGATGTGTGGGAGTGTGGGAGTGTGGGAGTGTGGTGTGTGGGAGTGTGTGGGACTGTGGGAGTGGGAGTGTGGGAGTGTGAGTGTGTGAGTGGGGTGGTGTGTGTGGGGGAGTGGGTTGTGTGTGGTGTGTGGGAGTGTGGGAGTGTGTGGGGTGTTGTGTGGTGTGTGAGTGGGTTGTGTGGGGTGTGTGGTGGTGTGAGTGGTGTGTGTGTGGTGTGTGTGGTGTGTGGTGTGTGGGAGTGTGGGAGTGTGAGTGTGGGAGTGGGTTGTGTGGGGTGTGCATGGTGTGTGTGTGTGGGAGTGGGGGTGTGGTGGTGTGTGTGTGGTGTGTGAGTGGGGTGTGTGTGGTGTGTGTGGTGGTGTGTGGTGTGTGTGGTGGTGTGTGGTGTGTGTGGTGTGTGTGGTGTGTGAGTGGGGGTGTGTGGGAGTGGGTTGTGTGGTGGTGTGTGTGGTGTGTGTGTGGTGTGTGTGGTGGTGTGTGGTGTGTGTGGTGTGTGAGTGGGGGTGTGTGGGAGTGGGTTGTGTGGGGTGTGTGTAGTGTGTGTGTGTGGGAGTGGGTTGTGTGGGGTGTGTGTGAGTGGGGTGTGTGTGGGGTGTGTGTGTGGTATGTGTGGTGTGTGTGGTGGTGTGTGTGGTGGTGTGTGTGTGGGAGTGTGGGGTGTGTGTGGTGGTGTGTGTGTGGGGTGTGTGTGGTGTGTGTGGTGTGTGAGTGGGGGGTGTGTGGGAGTGGGTTGTGTGGGGTGTGTGTGGTGTGTGTGGTGTGTGAGTGGGGTGTGTGTGGGGTGTGTGTGGTGTGTGTGGTGTGTGTGTGGTGTGTGAGTGGGGGGTGTGTGGTGTGTGTGGTGTTGGTGGTGTGAGTGGTGTGTGGGAGTGTTGAGTGTGTGGGAGTGTGGTGGTGTGTGTGTGTGGTGGTGTGTGTGTGTGTGGTGGTGTGTGGGAGTGTGGTGTAAGTGGGTTGTGAGTGGGTTGTGTAGTGTGTGTGGTGTGTGGTGGTGTGTGTGGTGGTGTTGTGAGTGGTGGTGTGTGTGGTGTGTGTTGTTGTGTGTGGTGTGTGGTGTGTGTGGTGTGTGTGTGTGGTGGTGGTGTGTGGTGTTGGTGGTGTGTGTGAGTTGTGTGGGGTGTGTGGTGTGTGAGTGGTGTGTGTGGGGTGAGTGTGGTGTGTGTGTGGTGTGTGTGTGTGGTGTGTGTGTGGTGTGTGTGTGGTGTGCGAGTGGTGTGTGTGGGGTGAGTGTGGTGTGTGTGTGGTGTGTGTGGTGTGTGTGGTGTGTGTGTGGTGTGTGTGTGGTGTGTGTGTGGTGTGTGTGGTGTGAGTGTGGTGTGTGTATGGTGTGTGTGGTGTGTGAGTGGGGTGTCTGTGTGGTCTGTGTGGTGTGTGTGTGTGTGGTGTGTGTGGTGTGAGTGTGGTGTGTGTGGTGTGTGTGGGGTGTAAGTGGTGTGAGTGGTGTGTGTGGGGTGTGTGGGGTGTGTGGGGTGTGTGGGGTGTGTGTGGTGTGAGTGTGGTGTGTGTGGTGTGTGTGGGGTGTAAGTGGTGTGAGTGGTGTGTGTGTGGTGTGTGGTGTGTGTGGGGTGTGTGGGGTGTGTGTGGTGTGAGTGGTGTGAGTGTGGTGTGTGGTGTGTGTGCTTTGTGAGGGGTGGTGGTGTGTGGTGTTGGTGGTGTGTGTCGGTTGTGTGAGTGGTGTATGTGGTGTGTGTGGTGTGGGTGTGAGTGGTGGTGTGTGTGGTGTGTGTGTTGGGTGGTCTGTGTGGTGTGTGTGGGGTGGTGTGTGTGGTGTGAGTGGGGTGTGTGTGTGGTGTGTGTGGTGTGTGTGTGGTGTGAGTGGTGTGAGTGGGGTGTGAGTGGGGTGTGTGTGGTGTGTGTGTGGTGTGTGGGGTGTGTGTGGGGTGGTGTGTGTGTGGTGTGTGTGGTGTGTGTGTGTGGTGTGTGGTGTGTGTGTGGTGTGTGGCGTGTGAGTGGGGTGTTAGTGGGGTGTGTGTGGTGAGTGTGGTGTGTGTGGTGTGTGTGTGTGGTGTGTGTAGTGTGGTGTGTGTGGTGTGTGTGGTGTGTGTGTGCTGTGTGTGTGGTGTGTGTATGGTGTGTGTGTGGTGTGTGTGGTGAGTGTGGTGTGTGTGGTGTGTGTGTGTGCTGTGTGTGTGGTGTGTGTATGGTGTGTGTGTGGTGTGTGTGGTGTGTGTGGTGTGTGTGGTGTGTGTGGTGTGTGTGGTGTATGTGGTGTGTGTGTGGTGTGTGTGTGCTGTGTGTGTGGTGTGTGTGGTGTGTGGTGTGTGTGGTGTGTGTGGTGTGTGTGGTGTGTGTGTGTGGTGTGTGTATGGTGTGTGTGTGGTGTGTGGTGTGTGTGGTGTGTGTGGTGTGTGTGGTGTATGTGGTGTGTGTGTGGTGTGTGTGCTGTGTGTGTGCTGTGTGTGTGGTGTGTGTATGGTGTGTGTGTGGTGTGTGTGGTGTGTGTGGTGTGTGTGGTGTGTGTGGTGTGTGTGGTGTGTGTGGGGTGTGAGTGGGGTGTGTGTGGTGTGAGTGGTGTGTGTGGTGTGAGTGGGGTGTTAGTGGGGTGTGTGTGGTGTGAGTGGTGTGTGTGGTGTGTGTGTGGTGTGTGTGGTGTGAGTGGGGTGTGAGTGGGGTGTGTGTGGTGTGAATGGTGTGTGTGGTGTGAGTGGGGTGTGAGTGG